CTACAACATGGATGTTTCAAACTACATGCTTTAGGCCGGTACACATGCACCAATCTCAAAGGGATCCTGTGGAAAAATGATACAAATGAACTTATTTACAAAACAGACTCACAGACTTAGAAAACAAACTTATGGTTACCAAAGGGGAAAGGTGATGGGGGAGGGATAAATTGGGAGTTTGGGATTGACATATACACACTACTATGTTTAAAATAGATAACCAACAAGGGCCTACTGTATAGCACAGAGAACTCTGCTCAATATTATGTAATTACCTAAATGGGAAAAGAATTTGAAAAAGAATAGATATATGTATACATATAACTGAATCACTTTGCTGTACACCTGAAGAAGGGATCCTGTGGAGAATGGCAGCCAGCACTGTTCCAAGCTTTTCTATTGGGAGCCAAAGGCCTAGAGAGCATATAAATCTGAGCTCGTCTTTGGTCTGTTTTTTTTGTTGTTGTTGTTAAATTACATTGCCATTATTAATTATTATCTTCTCCTTCCATCACTTCTCACCCTGTATTCTTTTTTTCCTTCTAACTCTTTCATTTACTCAGCAAATATTTATCAAATGCCCACTATTTGATAAGGGTTGTGGGTAAGATAAACGCAACCCGTGCCCTCAGCCTATCAGGAAAGACTGCTTAATTTTTGACTCAAATGTTCTTACTTAGAAGAAATAGTTCACAGTTTCCATTTATTTCAGTGTGAGTGGGGGAAGTAGTAACTCAGGTGTTCCAAAACAAGATGTTCTAGTTGCTTCTCTTTTCACCACATCAGAACTGCTAAAGACTTCTGATTTATATGGGGGATATGGGATGGGTACAGCAGGAAATGTGGTCTTAATATTATTTCAAGGATGATAAGATCTCCTAAGTATGTTTTACTCTTTGTAGAGAAAGAATGAAGTTTAAAAGGCTGTTGTTCCCAAACAGGTCAAGAGGCCCCAGAACAACCTTTAAAGAGATCTTTTGAAGTTCCCTAGGTATATAGTATATTCGGTTCTGAGTTGTCAAGCCTTTTAAGTACCTTCGTTGCTAAATGGCTTTCCTGTGTATTTGAGAGATTTTTCCAGATCCCCTCCAAGACTTTTTGGCTGAGACAGTTATAGTTGTGGGCTTTGTTTTGAAAAAGCAGAGCTCAAAAGCTCTGATTATGGAGCTGAAATCTTTGAATAAGGAATGCTTTACCTCAGGAACCTGAAGTGTTATGAAAACCAGAGCCTTTTGGAACCTTCATCATTTTCTCTCAACAAATTTTTAATGTCTTTGTGTTCTAGTCATTTTTCTGTCACAGGCTTATTCTTAAGTCCTCAAACACTTCTGAATTGGCATTCTTAGGTTGGTCGATTGCCAACCCAACACAAAGGATTTAGACTGAAGTGACACGTGGAAGGCATGACCAACTCCTTGCCTCATGAGAAATGAGTAGAACAGGAGAGAAGGAATGGCAAAAAGTAGCACAGCCCTCCTGAGTTATTTTTCCCCCCTCACTACAACTTTCCTTCCTAGACAGCTTTAGTTAAATATTCATGATGCTTTACTTCTGCAGATGTTTGGAAGCCATGATTAAGTACCTCACACTGTGGAAGAAAGGAGGGCAGGAGGAGCCCTATGTCAGCCTCACCCGAAAGAAGATGCTAATAAATGGCGAGGAGGTGCTGATAGAATGGGAGGTGGGCCACTCCATCCGGACCCTGGCTATGCACCGCAGTGCCTACAAACGTATGTCACAGATCCAAGCCTTCCTGGGCTCAGTGCCCCAGCTGACCTGTCAGCTCTATGTGACCCTGATCTCTGCAGAGGTCCCCCTGGGTAGAGGTGAGTGGGGTCAGGAGAAGGGAGGGCTCCAGTGAAATCAAGGGTCTTAGAAATCTAGACCTGAGTGTACAATATACTGGCCACCAGCTTCATGTGGCTATTTAAATTAAAAATTAAAAATCTATTTCCTCAGTCATACTAGCCACATTTCAAGTGCTCAGTAGCTATGTGTGCCTAGTGATTACTCTATTGGTATTATAGAACTAGTTCTATTGTACAGCACCGAGAGTCAACTTGGGGAGCCAGACATCTCAGACCTACCAGATTTCTGAAACCGGGGTAAGGTGTTTAGACTAAAAATGCCACAGAAAAACCCTCTCTGGACCCAGAAGAAGCGAGTAATGCCAGCAGCCAGTAGGACATGTTCCCTACCCACAGTGTTTAAATTGTACTGAGTGTGTTTGGTTGGTTGGTTGGTTGGTTGGTTTAGGGATGGCTGCCTTTAAGTAAGAGGTTCCCAAATATTACAGATCATGAGAAAATATAATTACTGGATGAAAGCTTCCTTTAAAACTTACATCCCATACTCAGACCTGAATCAATCTGAGTGTGGGGAGGCCAAGAATCTACATTTTTAATGTACCCCAGTTGATTCTGATCAGCTACTTTTGGGAATCACTGATTTAATCACTCCTTCCAGTTTTAGTGGGGAGAAAGAAAAAGGGGTGTGGAATGAATACTGATGCGAGTCAGGCCTGGTCCCGGTTCTGACCTTCTCTGTAATCTTTAGAGGAAGTTACCAAAGAGGTCACTGTCTTAATTTCCCACTTGTAAAAGAGGGATCCCGAGATGAGTAAGCCTCTAGCTTGGGCTGGAGCTGGTACAGCTGTGGGTACAGCTTTGGACCATTTCCTTATTATTAGGTGCTGACCCTGCTTGGCAAAGCCCTATGTTTCAAATAAAGGAGGAAATGTGCCCTCTTTTTTTCTCTACTAAGAATTGTTCATGAAGTTCTACTGGTCTTGAAGCTTTTTACATACCCAGAATTGACAGTAGTATGGGGAGAAAAATTTGGAAATGATGATGCTCTTCCTCCTGAGAATTTTGAGTGTAATTAAATCATCTAATTAAAATATGTATGCATTATAAAAGTAATACATGCACAAACCGGATGGCCTGCAGGTAATTGTATATGCACAGACTATTTCTAGAAACATATGCAAGGAACCATTTACCTCTAGCGAGTGAAAATGAGAAGTCAGCTGACTTTTATTAGCTTTTACTTTATACCCTTTTATATGGTTTGGATTTCTTTTTACCATGATCATGTATTACTATTTTTGGTCCTTATTCTTTTTAATTATAAAAATCAGACATGGTTATGGTAAAGACTCAAAACTGTACAGAATATATATAAAATAGGAGATGTAATCTCATTTCCCAAAGGTAATCTGTTTACCATTTAGTGTATATCCTTCCAGACTCTTTCCTTCCTTCCTTCCTCCCTCCCTCCCTCCCTCTCTCTCTTTCTCTTCCTTTCTTTCTCTCTCTCTCTCTCTCTCTTCTTTTTCTTTCCTGTGCTATACAGCAGGTTCTCATTAGTTATCTATTTTATACAAAGTAATGCAGACTTCTTTTTATTATGTAAATATAAACATACATATAACATATATATGTGTATATATATATTTGCCAAAAAAGGCAAATTAAACATTCTATTCAGCATGTTTTTTTTCAAAAGTATGCCAATATTTCTTCATCAGTTATCTATATATATAATAATAATGATAAATATACTGTATATTTCCTTTATATGAATTGGACCATTCTTTCTTATTTCCCTAATCTTCCGTTGGTAGGATTAAAGTTTGTTTATAATTTTTCCATCCATGCAAAAATTTTTTCTCTGATGACAGACTATGCTCCTGTGAACATCTTTATAAGCACCTGTGTACTGGAATGAGACTTTGTAGAATAACTTCTTAGCAGTAGAATTGCTGGGAGAAAAGATATGCATATTTAGAATTTTAGCAGTACTGCCAAAAGGTTGCATGAATTTGTATTCCCACCAGCAGTGTATGAAGATGCCTGTTTCTTTATATCTTAAACTAAATATTTATATAATTATAAAATAACTTTTAATAATTTACTTTCTTTATGAGTGAAGCTGAGCATCATTTCATGTTTGGTCATTCTGTTCTTTAAATATCTTATTTATATGTTACTTTTTCTAGTGGGTTGTTTATCTTTTCCTTATTAATTTGGAGGATCTATTTACTTATTCTGGCTATTAATCCTTTCTCTGCTGTGGATAAGTGTGTATGTATACATTTGTATAATGTTCTGTATGTGTGTACATACACACATTTTAAGTGTGCATATACATGTCATACATGTAACAGATGTGCAACACACTATATGTAAGAGACAATATACTTGTAGTATTTTCTGGCATTTTGAAGTATTACATTTTTATGTGTTCAAATTCTTTATTGCTTTTAGGTCTTGTGCCTTTCAAAGGCCTTTCACAGCTCATATCTAGTAGAGCAATTTAGCCTGATCTTCCAAACAGAATGAATTTTCACAATCAATTTGTCAATTCCCCCACCAGAAAACAAAACAAAGCAAAACAATAACAACAAAAGAAAAAACATTTTATTGAGATTGTGATTGGGATTGCATTCAATTATTTAGGTTATTTTGGAGGGAGTTTACAGGTTTACAGGATCAATCAATTTCATATTAGAAGATAATTTAAGTCTCCATTTCGTTAAATATTTTAAAAATCACTTCATCGAGGTACAGTTGACAAACAAAAACCTCTACCTATTTAATGTGTACAACTTGATGAGTTTGGAGATAAATATACACCCGTGCAGCATCACTACACTCTGTGCCATAAATATGTAAGACTCGTAGCAAGAAAACTATACTTGACCCTGGGTATCTTCAGCGGATTGTTTCCAGGACCCCCTGCGGATACCAAAATCCATAGATTCTCAAATCCCTTATATAAAATGGTATAGTATTTGTGTATAACCTGTGTACATCCTCCCGTATAGTTTACATCATTGCTAGGTTACTTATAATACCTAATACAATGTAAATACTATGTAAATAGTTATGAATATGATGTAAATGCTAAGTAAATAGTTGCCAGTACATGGCAAATTCAAGTTTTGCTTTTGGAACTTACTGGAATTTTTTCCCGAGTATTTTCTATCCATGGTTTTGGTTGAATCTGTGGATGCAGAGGGCCAACTATATACAAGTTTACCGAAGTACATGTCATTAAATATTTTTAAATATGCTTCAGTAAAATTGTATCATTTTCTTATTATAGGTTTTTCACATTTTTGTAAGGCTTATGTCTAGATGTTCTATCAGTTTTGAAATCACCTGATTTCCTAAGTGTCAGGGTAGCACCTAAACAAAGTAAATGCATCTCCTGTACTTCTGGAAATAGAGAATGGTGATGATGATGATGATGATGATAATAGGAGCTAACAGATAGCATTTACTATGTTCCAGGCATTTCTCTAATTATTTCATTTAAATCTTCACAACAACACTATGAGATACTTGTTATTATCCACATCTTACAAATGAGAAAACAGAGGCACCGAGAGGTTAAGCAAATTTCCCCACAAGGTTCCATAAGTAATAGATGGCAAAGAGGATTGGAATGCAGGACATCTGCCTTTAGGATCCGTGTTTCTAACTATAGGTCACTCTACAAAGGATGTAAGGGAATCTTTCTACAAGGCCTTGTTTTCAATTCTTCAGTGATTTCTCCTATTAAAAACTTTCTGACAACACCCTCTCTTTTAAGGTTTTGTGAACTACTTTTTGGTTTTAGTTTTCCTCACTTTCACCCACCCTCCTGTCTTCTCTTTGCTACCCCTTTTCTTATTCCTTTTTCTCTGGGAGGCCATCTGGATCAGCATAGATGAGCAAATTTCACTAGCAGCATTATGACCTCTTATGGCATGTGTCTTTTTGTAGGGAGACAGATGGAAGGTGTTTTTACATTTATTGGAAGCATCAGGCTTTCTGCTTTTTATTACACTACTATCAATAAACGAGTTCTAAATTTAAGGGAAAGCATCGCCACACTTGGCTGGCTGTACATACACCCTGATGTTCCAAACTCTACAAGGAGCATCAACTCTTGAGGATGGGACTGAGAGTGGTTTATAAAGCTAAGAGTATATCAAATCATTATGCTGTACACCTTAAACTAATACAATGTTATATGTCGATTATATCTCAATAAAGCCGGAAAAAATAATAAATAATAAAGGTAAAGGTAAGAGTAGACACTTTAAGAGAGTCTTCCAGTCTTTGAGACTGCAACCCTCTGCTTAGAGCTGGAAAAGATCTCGGAAACAACGCTGTGCTTCTTTTTGGGTTTCTATCGGAAGGTCTTTACTTTTCTTGCAGATTAAATTGACATTTCAATGGCTCTAGTTCCCTGGATCCAGTGTTTTTATGGGAACAGAAAGCTCCAGCTTTTCTTTTGGATGAGTATACTCCGGCGTCTCACTCTCCTTGAGAGCACTAGATTTTTCTTAGTGATTGGTATCCTCTGATATAAAGAAAGGAAGAAAAGGAAAGAGCCACTGTGTGACCTATAGTTGAGACTTAGGATAGCAGGATTAGAGGGCATCCTGATCCTTCAGGGCCCCTACTCTAACGCACAGTGGTATGGATGTTATGGGCTAGGAAATAGGATTTTTAAATTTTTAAACCACTCTGCCAGAAGTTTGGGGATTCCCAAAGTATACCAAAGCATTGGGAAATTGGTATTGCTGATGAGTAATACAAGCAACTCTAGAGTATGTCAGTGACCTAGGGGACCGAGGCACATGGATATTCAGTGAGTTGCACAAGTTCTCACACTGCTGAA